GATTTGGTGGCTTGGTGTGGTGGCTCATGCCTGTAATCCCAGCACTCACTTTGAGAGGCCCAGATGGGAGAATTGCCTAAGGCCAGGAGTTCAAGACCAGCCTGAGCAACACAGCAAGACCCTGCCTCTATGCAAAATTAGCCAGGTGTGATGGTTCATACCTGTAGTCCCAGCCACTCAGAAGGCTGAGGCAGGAGAATCCCTTGGGACCAGGAATTCAAGGCTACAGTGTGCTATGGTCATACCACTGCACTCCAGCCTGGGCGACAGTCTTTTTTGGTAGGAAAGAGGCGTAATGCACACCTATAATGCTGGCCCTGGGTGCAAGGAGGAGGGCTTTCCAGATCGGAGGAAGATGGAGAGACAGGGTGAGCACAGCGTGTTCCCGGGACAATGAAGAGGCCAGTCTGACTGAAGGGGAAGATTTGACCTGGAGAACCCTCTAGAGAGCTGGAGTCCTAGAACGTTATCACTGGCCTCAGGCTGGCCTTGCCCTACATGCTGGCAGGAGGGTAGCAGAGCAAACTGTGGACAGGCCGGCACAGGGGAGCCACAGCGCTCCATGTTTTCAGGAAGAAAAGCAAAAGCCACTGGAGGAGCTTCCAGGGAGTCAGGGTCACTCGAGCAGGAGTCCAGTCAGCACGTAACTTTCCTTTGCTGGCATTTATCCACGGCAATCAGCAGGGAATTCCATGGAAACACATCTGTGGCAGCAGGGCCAGGGAGTGCAGTAGAGATCATGTTCACTGCAGAGCCAAGTGGGGGCTGGGGGACCCCACGGAAGGAAGAGGCACGAAGGCTAAGGCCCCAGGCCTGTGGGAGGAAGGAAAGGAAGCCCAGGAGCCCGGCTGCTGGTAGGTCTCAGCCTCCCGGCCTCTCGCACAGGGCTCCACTTCTAACCGGTGCCCTTGCCCACAGGCCCTCGTGACCCTAATCCCTTCTACAGGTTTATAGAAAGAGCGTGGAAAATGTAAAAGAAAAGGTGAAAAAGAAAGGAAGGGAGGAAAAAAGAATAAGAGTGAAAACCAAGACTCCGACAGACCCAGCTCTGAAATCCAGCCTGCTCCTAGCCAGCTGTGCCGCTGGGGGCAAAGGATCCGAACTCCCAGGAGTCCCAGTGACATCAGGGAATGGGAGCAAGAATTCCTCCCTGACCTTGCCTCCCAGGGCTGGGATGAGGGTGAAATGAGATGGTGAGTTGCGGGGTCTTATGATCAATGTCACTGAGTGTTATTTATGCCACCAACACCCCCAGCCCTGACCTGGCCCTTTGAAGGATAGCTACCACCTTTCCCTGGAACCCTTTCGTAAGGCAGGCAGGGGCAGGAGAGCCTGTGTCGCAGAGCCCGGGGTGTAGACACGGAGCCCAGGGTGTAGTCGCGGATGGCTGTGGACAACAGCAAAGCAGAGCCACTCCCTGGTCGCCCCGCCTCCCCTTGGCCTCCCTTCTGCAGTCTCCCAACTCACAGGGACAGTTCTAAGACCCAGTTCTGACCAAGCCACTCCCTGCTCCGGAGGGAGTAAGGCTAAACCTCTCCTCCTTCCTGGAATGCCCCACCCAACTCCGAATTCTGCCTATTAAAATCCTTGCAACCCTCAAACTTTAGCCCAAAGGCCCACCACTCCAGGAAGTCCTCCTGCATGCCCCATCAGACGACGTCATCGCTTCTCCAGTTTATACAGCACTCGCTCTCTGGCCTTTAACCCAGTAAATTGTCTTCATGTCTGTCTGCTAACCCATAGTTCTCAAAGGACACTTTTCCATTGTTAACCACTTTGGGACCAGCATCGACTATAGTCGACAGCCACAGATGAACGCGCACAGCGACTTTAGCCGACAGCCGTGATGATGAAGGCTCACAGCCGAGCGTCAACTTAGCCGACAGCCGTGATAGGACGTTTCTAATTTTTCATTTATCAAAATAAAATTGTGGACATTTAAAAATAACGTAATGAAAACATATATGTGTATGTTAGCTATTCTGATTTCCATTACAAGTGAAGCTGCCTGTAAAGTAAAACAAGCTTTCAGTGCTTTAAAGCTTTCCTCATCACACAAGAGCAAAATAGATTCGTTGTCAATGCCCAGCACAGACTCTCGTGCAGACTGTGAGTGCCGGCTGTGGGCAAGGTTTCCCGGCCTGTGGGCACCGTACCGAAGTGGTTAATAATGAGGGAAAACCCTAAACAACTTTTGCTTATGCAGGTTACATCTATCAATATTTAGCAGATTAAAATTAAAACTGAGAGAAATTTAAATATTTTCCTTTTTTTTAAATTTATTCTTTTTAAAAATTTTTAAATTTTTTTTTTTTTTTTTTTTTTTTTTTTTTGAGACAGAGTCTCGCTTTGTTATCCAGGCTAGAGTGAGTGCCGTGGCGTCAGCCTAGCTCACAGCAACCTCAAACTCCTGGGCTCAAGCAATCCTCCTGCCTCAGCCTCCCATGTAGCTGGGACTACAGGCATGCGCCACCATGCCCGGCTAATTTTTTTTATATATATATCAGTTGGCCAATTAATTTCTTTCTATTTATAGTAGAGACGGGATCTCGCTCTTGCTCAGGCTGGTTTTGAACTCCTGACCTTGAGCAATCCGCCCGCCTCGGCCTCCCAAGAGCTAGGATTACAGGCGTGAGCCACAGCACCCGGCCTAAATTGTACTTTTTCTTTTCTTTTTTTTTCTTTACCTATGGCAGAGAGTATTGCTATATGAAAAATATTTTCTTATTAATCTCAAACACTACATTTTTAAAAAATAATAAACCCTTTACATGCTAACATAAATGTCTTTATTTTTTTTTAAAGCCATATTTTTCAAAGCAAAAATAAATTAGTAAGAAGGGCACTGTTGGCTGGGCACGGTGGCTCACACCTGTAATCCTAGCACTCTGGGAGGCCAAGGCAGGAGGATTGCTTGAGCTCAGGAATTGAAGACCAGGCTGAGCAAGAGTGAGATCTCGTCTCTACTAAAAATAGAAAAATTAGCTGGGCATCATGGCGCATGCCTGTAGTCCCAGCTACTTGGGAAGGCTGAGGCAGGAGGATTGCTTGAGCCCGGGAGTTTATAGTGAGCTATGATGAGTGCCACTGCACTTCACCCGGGGCGACAGAGCAAGAATCTGTCTCAAAAAAAAGAGACAGTGTTGTTTTACATTCTTGCAAATCTCTCTAACGTCTGGCTTAATAGAAGACAGCTGGACTCACATCTCCTTCGGCATTCAGCCCGACGCCATGTCATACGTCATAGGGCGTCTGGAAAATATGAATGAGCGTGAAAAAGGCACATAAGGTCTTAGTGTTGTTATGAAAACAGTTCCAACCTCTCAAGCCCGCTGAAAGAAGTCCCCGGGCCCCACTTTAAGAACTGCCGCACTAGACCAGAGCCTCCTTCAGTCAAGGGCACCTGTCTTGGTCGGCTCGGGGAGCCCAGCGCTCGGCCAGACCTGGCACCGCAGCCTCCAAGTGATCACGGTGAACGAGCCAGTCCGGAGCAGAGCACAAGGCCACTCTCCATGGAGCTGTCCCCCCTGGCCCAGGCTCTTAGCACACAGTGTGGCAGGGAATCCTGCTCCATCCTTGTCCGACCAGAATGAGAAGTACTTGTGGTCAGGGACTGTCTCATCCTCTTCAGGAACGCTTGTCCCTACAACTAGTACCCTCCCTAAAGACGAAGCGTGGTTAGACATCCAAGGGTCCAGAACAAGGCTTGCCACCCTAGACAAAAGCAGCCCAAGGCCCTCCAGGGGTGAATGGAGAAGAACTTACGGGCAGGGGAGTCTCCTCTCCTGAGTGCAAGGGTAGCACCCTAGGATCACAGAATCTGCCCCCTTTGAGTCTCCCATTCCCGTTGGGTTTCTCCCTTTGCTCTGTCCCTCTGACCCCTCTGCCCTCCCAACATGCCTGGTGCAGGGTAAGAGAAGTATGTCACAGAAAATGAGAGTTTAGGATTTATCTGGTCCTAGGTTCAAATCTCATCTCTGCATCTTACCCCATGTGACTTGGGGGAGTTACTGAACATTTTAGCCTTTGTACCATCATCTGTAAAATGGTTACACCTCCAGACTTACGAAGGAGAGAAACTGCAGGCAAGACCTCTTGCCCAGACATTCATAATAAGCATCCTACAAACAGCAGCCAGAAATATCAGGCTGCGTCCCTACCTCTTGCCCTGCCCGACGCTCAGCCTGAGCATGACTAACCCAAGACGGATCACCAAGCCCTTTCTCTCTGAGGACAGCTGAGCCAGACTGGGATTTGCCAAGAGAACTTCACTCATGGAGAAAAAGGCATGTAAAGAAACAAGAAATAAGTAACCTGGTTTGCAGAGTGCAGGTTTCCGACCCTGCGGCCCGGACTCCACACCCCACCCCGCCCAAGCCCTGGGGCCCCATCTGCTCCTTCCATCCTTTCTCCTGTGGGCTTGGAGCCCCCAGGGACAAGCAGTCAGCCCTCCAGCTCACACCATGTTCTTCCAGTAATGGTTTCTCTCCTTGTCCTGGTCACGCAGGTGATCTAACAAGGAACTTCCAAACACCCAGACGTGCCTGAAGCCGCCGTCACGCTGACGGGGAGGAATGGTGGGCAGCTGGCTTTGTCCTCAGGACTCACAGGCCCTGACGCTGCCACGCCCTACACCCAGCTTCTCTCTCTTCCTCAGACCACCTGAGGTTTCCTTATGCCTGCAAGTTCTCCCTCCTCCCAGCACCCCCAGGAGCTCACTCAATATCAGGTGAGGTGGAGAAGGGGGTGGCCACACCCCCACCCTAGTCACACCCCCACCCTAGTCACACCCCCACCCTAGTCACACCCCCACCAAGCACCTAGCTTCCTCTGCTGGGTGCTCTCAGCCACTGCCTGTGCCTTTAAGAGCTGCCACCCTGTGCCAGGGTCTTGACCTCAGCGTCCTCAGCTGAGTCGGATTAAGGGACCCTTTGGTGCCTTTGCGAATTCCTCCTGGCTGCCAGACCCTTCCCCCACACAGCAACAGAGTAGCCTGTAGCCCAAACCAGTCTGCCAAGGGCGGCCCGAGAGCTGGTGTAGCCTGGCAGCCTTTTCCCTCAGGGAGTAGAGGCTGGCCCTTTGGTGGGGGGTTTGTGGTCAGAGAGTGGGCCCTTGGGATCTTGGGCTGTCACAGGGACCCCAGAAAGCCATGCAGAGCCTTGGGCCATGAAGGACTACTCTGATGTCATCCTCTGTGTGGAGGCGACAGGACTGAGCAAGGTAAGGGCCACACGGATCCACTCTCCCAAGACCCAGCAGCCCCAATGGACGCAGCTGCCCTCAGTCCTCAAGTCTCGCCCTTCCAGACTGAGTTCTGCAATCCTGCTTTTGAGCCTGAGTCGGGGCTGCCTTGCCCTCCGCCAGCCTTCCAGGAGGATGGGAGCTGCAGCATCCGAGCTCCCTGGCACGGTAACTGTCCCACAGGGTTCCAGGTGGGAGGACAGAGAGGCCCAGGCGCCGAGGGCAGTGTGAGGGAGGCCTGAGCGGGGGGCTCTCAAAATCCCACATGCCGGCCTGCAGGTCGGCGTCCCCGAGTGCTGCAGCCAGACTGCCACTTCTCCTGGCTATGTGTCCTCCTGCTCGCCAGCCTGCTGCTCCTGCTGCTCGGGCTGCTGGTGGCCGTCATCCTGGCCCGTGAGTACCCGGGGCCTGCTGGGAGAAGGGCTTTAGAGTGAGACCCGTGAGCCCCTCTACTTGCCCCCCTGGGGTCCAGCTCCTCCATCTTCCTGCTTCCAGAGCTGCAGGCTGCACCCCCTCCCAGGCCCTCCTACAGCCCCCTGCCTGCCCAAGGCCTCACCACCACCGGCACCACCACCACCTCTCAGGCAACTGCGACCCCTAAAAGGCAGCAGGAGGCAGGCATGAGCCCCACAGTCCAGTCCAGTGAGTACTCAGGGCAGCTTTGCCTGGAAGAGAACCCAAGATGGCAGGCAGAGGGGAGGCCAGGGAGAGGCACCTTGGGGAAAAAGGCCTCTCTCCTTCTGACCTCTGAACTCTAACCTCCATCTCTGCAGCCTGTGGAGGCCTCCTCTCTGGCCCAAGGGGCTTCTTCAGCAGCCCCAACTACCCAGACCCCTACCCCATCAATGCCCACTGCGTGTGGCACATCCAGGTGGCCACAGACCACACAATCCAGCTCAAGATTGAAGCCCTCAGCATGGAGAGTGTGGCCTCCTGTCTTTTCGATCGCTTGGAAATCTCCCCTGAGCCTGAAGGCCCCCTTCTCAGGTGGGTCCCTCTGACCCTAGGAGATCCCACGTCTGTCCTAAACCACTGTCTGGAGGGCAGAACCAGGGAGCTGCAGTGGGAAAGGCTGGACTGGGAGGAAATTGAGAGAGTTGGCATCTGGGCCCAGCTCTGCCACCACCTAGCTAGCTGTGTGACCTGAGGAAGATCACTTCCCCTCTCTGATCTGTTTCCTAATCTGTAAAATGGAGCTCCTATCTTTCCCATGAGTAAATGCTATGCTACAAGGATGGGTGTGCAGGTGCTGGGAAGGTCAGCGCTCCCTGGGAAATTCAAGGATGCTTTTCGGCCACCAGTTCAGGGGTTAAGGAAACAGGACTGCAGGGCCCAGGCAAGCTCCACTCTGGCTGGCCCTGAGCTCGGAGCCTCCATTACCCCCAACCTGGCTTCTTGCAGAGTGTGTGGGAGGGTACCACCCCCCACACTCAACACCAATGCCAGCCGCCTCCGGGTGGCCTTCGTCTCCGACAGCAGCGTGGAAGGATTTGGTTTCCATGCCTGGTACCAGGCTGTGGCCCCTGGCCATGGTGAGTGTCTTCCCACCGTGTCCCCAGCTGCCCATTGAGTGTCCACTTCCTTCCCCTCCAGCCACTCCCAGCACTGGCAAAAGGGGTGGGGACTCTGGGGTTCCTGACTCCAGATGCCCACTCCCAGGGAGCTGTGCCCATGATGAGTTCCCTTGTGACCAACTCGTCTGCCTGCTACCTGACTCCGTGTGCGATGGTTTCGCCAACTGTGCTGATGGCAGTGATGAGACCAATTGCAGTGCCAAGTCCTCAGGTACAGGCCCCACCAGGCACAGGGTGGGTACTCTCTTCAGGCATCGGGTCCAGGTTCAGGCTGGGCTCCCCAGATCTGCCCAGCCTCACACCAGGACCCCCCACCCAGCACTCCCTGCCTGGTCACTCTTCTGGCCCAGAACCTGCTTCCTTCCCCACCGGCATGGCCAACACCCTTGCTCTGCAGCCTCTGCCAGCCCTATCGGTTGGAGGCACAGATCCTGACAAACTCATGAGCCCTTCTGCCTCTCTGCAGGGTGTGGGGGGAATCTGACTGGGCTCCAGGGCACTTTCTCTGCTCCCAGCTACCTGCAGCAGTACCCTCACCAACAGGTAAGCGCAGGGCTCCATGGGGAGGGGAGAGGCACACATGGGAACGGCACCCAGGTTAGTGTGATGGGGACAGCATGGTAGACACTGCCTTGTACTTGGGAAGAGATCAAGCAAGCAGGAGGGGAATATTATTAAGTGCTTATTGTATACCTAGATGTTCCCATGCTGGGTAATCTCATCTCTGAGACCAGATAAGTTAAAAGGCCCTTCTCAGCTTAAGAACTACCAATGATGGGAGCTGGGTGGGCAGTGCCCCCTCCCTGCCTAGCCTGCACTGGGAGAAGAAGCCCCTTCTGGAGCTCAGCCTGGATGCCCACATTGGGACAGGAGGAGGTACGTGAACTACTCCATCTGTGCCCTCCCTCAGCTTTGCACCTGGCATATCTCAGTGCCTGCTGGATACGGCATAGAACTGCAGTTCCACAACTTCAGCCTGGAAGCTCAGGACGAGTGCAAGTTTGACTACGTGGAGGTGTATGAGACCAGTGGCTCTGGGGCCCTCAGCCTCCTGGGCAGGTACAGGAGCCATGGAAGGGGCCGTGGGTAGCCTCCTGCAGCCTGGCGCTCCCTCCCCACCAGCCCCACTCCTCCCAGCTTCATTTTCTTCCACTACTCCAAGCCGGAAGTCTCTTCACTGTCCCCCAACACAGGCTGTGCTTCTCATCTCCGAGACTTCACTCCACAGTCACCCCGTCCCCAGGAGGCCCTTTCCCAAACCCTCCCTACCCCAGTTCTTCCCACCCTATGGGGGCATTTCCACCTCTCCTACAAACCCTCAACTGACTATTCCCATCTCGAAGTGGCTTGAGCGTGAACAGTTTGCCTAATACTCTGTCTACTAAATATGCATGTCTTCCTCATCAGACCCTAACCTCCCTGCGTCCGCAACTGTCTCCACCTCTGGCATCGCCCAGAGCTCCTGGCTCAGAGCCAGGCCTGTGGGAGGCTGCAGTGGAGCCGGGTGAGCTGGGGGCCCGTGCCCAGCACTGTTCTCTGCTTTGGGCAGGTTCTGTGGAGCAGAGCCACCCCCGCCCCTCATCTCCTCGCACCACGAATTGGCCGTGCTCTTAAGGACAGATCATGGCATCAGCAGCGGGGGCTTCTCAGCCACCTATTGGGCCTTCAATGCCACAGAGAGTAGGTGCCCCTGGGCAAGGGGGGTGTGGGCAGCAGAGGTGCCTCCACAGGTCAGAGAAGGGCTCTGAACCCTGGTCAGGCACCAGGAGGGCAGTGACGCTGTAAGCGTGTCCCTGGGTACTGCCATGCCCTGTGCCTACAGACCCCTGTGGGCCCAGAGAGTTCTGCCAGGACGGAGGGTGTAAGGGTCTGCAGTGGATGTGTGACCTGTGGAGAGACTGCCCAGACAGCAGCAATGACAACTGCAGCAGCCCCTTGTTCCCACCCCCAGGTGAGAATCTTCCCGGGCACCCTGGGCAGGGCCGGCAGGCCAAGGCAGCCTGGGTGCCACCTTACAGAAACCTGCTGGCAGACTTCACAGCACTCCATCCTGTCCCCACTGACAGGGGCAAGGGTGGCTGGCCTCACTATCTGGACTCTAAGGCTGCTTCACAGAGACCTGGAATGACTCTCAGCTGGTGGTGGCAGTGGTACTTAGTGTCACCCCAAGGGAAATGGGACTATGGGGATCAATGAGGGTTCGGGAACCAGTCCCGCTGTCACACAGAGTCCCTCTTCATAGCCCACCCCAAAGGTGAAGGTCAGATCTTACACAGAACAGGGGAGTTTCCAAGTGGCCCCTGCAAATGTGGGTGCCCCGTGTCCCCTGAGATGGCAGAGGTACCTGCACGATGCCCAGGGCGGGTGAGTGTTGCTTGGAGCAGGCTCCCTGGATGGCGGAGCTTCTCGGTGTGTGTGAAGCATCGCTCCCTGTTACCTCCTTGGATTCTTGCAGCAGCCTCCAGCTGACCCATGTAGAGCAATTAGGTGACTCACCCCAGGCCACACAGCAAGTGTCCCCACGGTGACTCTCCCCTCCCACCCCGCAGAGCTGGCCTGTGAGCCTGTCCAGGTGGAGATGTGCATCGGTCTGAGCTACAACACCACGGCCTTCCCTAACATCTGGGTGGGCATGGCCACCCAGGAGGAGGTGGTAGAGGTCCTCAGCGGTTACAAGGTGCTCTGGGCAGAGATAAGGAGGGCATCCCGGGACAGGGTGGGAGCCTGGGGAGCCCTGGGGAGCAGGGTGCCTGAAAGCTGGTCTCCTCCTTCCACAGAGCCTGACAAGTCTGCCCTGCTACCAGAATTTCCGGAGGCTCCTTTGTGGGCTGCTCGTGCCCCGCTGCACCCCACTAGGCAGCGTCCTTCCCCCTTGCCGCTCTGTCTGCCAGGAGGCAGAGCACCAGTGCCAGTCTGGCCTGGCACTACTGGGCACCCCCTGGCCCTTCAACTGCAACAGGCTGCCTGAGGCAGCTGGCCTGGAAGCTTGTGCCCAGCCCTGACCCTGAAGCCGGCCCCTGCCCTCCGCCCTCTGCCTGCCCACCCTCCTTTGCCAATCAGGGTGGGCAGGCAGGGGAGCCAAGGAAGGGGACCTCAGGCACTCTGCCCATCCTCTCAGGGGCCTCCTAGGGAGGGGAAGGAGGAGTCACCCGCTAATGGGACCCTCCTCCCTGCTCCTTCCTTGTCCCCTATTTGCCCCAGCTGCTCAGGCTGCTGACCTAGCCCCCCCCCACCCCCCTACCACTGGACAATCCCATCCAGGTCTCCTTCCCATCCAGGTCTCTCACAGAGATTTCCCATCTTCTGCCTTCCCCCTTTTCAACTGCTTTTTCACATTCTTTGTCACCTGCCTTCTGACTTTTTCACTCATACAACAAAAATGTCCTGAGTGCCTGCTAAGGTGGCAGGCCCTGTTCTAAGCCCTGGGGATCCTGTTGACTATCTGCCTCTAGAACTCTCCACCGCAGTTCTCTGCGTGTATTTCTTCCTAGACTAGGTTCTGGTCCTTGGTCTCTGTCACTGCAATGTGTCTCCTCCGGCTCCTGGGAACAGGAGGTGCCCTGAGTGTATGTCTCTCACAGTCTGCCTCTCTGAGCCCGGCTCAAGTCTCTCTCCCCCTCCTCTCCCCCCAAACTTTGGCCGCCCGCCGGGCGACACCACGAGTTATTTCCCAGCTATTTCCCGGTCCAGAGCTCTTGGCCCCCGAACAACTGGTTTCCTCTTGAAGTCTGGGAGGAGCAGAGCGGAGCCGGCAGGGAGCGAACCAGGACGGGGGACGGCGAGGGCAGGGGGCGCCTGGCTGGGTAAAGCGCAGGGGCGGGAGCACGGCCGACTGGAGGGTCCGGAGTAGCGAGCGCCCAGAAGGAGGCCACCGGGGAGCCGCGAGGGGGTGAGCGTGGGGGAGGAGGGGAAGCGGGGATGGGGAGGAGACTGTGGGAAAGCCTGGGCGCGGGCCGGGCGCTGGGGATTGGGAGGGCCGGTCTCTCCTCTCGCCCTCGCCTGTGCTCTCCGGGTGCTCGGATCTGGGGGAGGCCCCTTTCTGCATCCCCTGCCTCAGGGGCGTGGCAGTGGGGTGGGGACCGACCGGGCCGCGCCTGGGTGAGCAGCGAGGCAGGTCCCAGAATCCTGGGTCCCGACTCCAGCCCTGCCTAGCCCACAGACCACGAGAGGACCCCAGCGTTCGGGCTCCGGGTGCCAGTGCCATGAGGCTGCTCCTCGCCCTACTGTTCCTGGGCCTGGCGGCCGGCTCTCCCCCGCTGGACGACAACAAGATCCCCAGCCTGTGCCCGGGGCACCCTGGCCTTCCAGGAACGCCAGGCCACCATGGCAGCCAGGGCCTGCCAGGCCGCGACGGCCGTGACGGTCGCGACGGCGCGCCCGGGGCTCCGGGCGAGAAAGGCGAGAGCGGGCAGCCGGGTAAGAAGGCAGCTTCGCTGCTGTCCACGGGGACGTCCGAGCAGCGCCGCGCGGCTCCGCTCTCCGGGGCTCCCCGGGGTCGCGGCTCACGCGAGGGGGCGCTGCTGCGCGCGGGGGAGGGGCTGGGTCCGCCGGCGGGAGCCAGAGCTCCGGGACCTTCCTTGACCTGCCCCTCGGATCTGCCCTAAACGCCGCAGGAGGGGGTGGGGGGACTGGTGCAGGCAGGCACTACCAAAGCTTAGGGAGGACCGGGCGGGGTGTCCCCGGAGTCGACCTCGGGCACCCCGCTGCGGGCTGACCCGGCCGCTACTCTCACCCTAACCGCTCCCTTACGCGCAGGGCTGCCGGGGCCGCGAGGAGACCCCGGGCCGCGAGGAGAGGCGGGACCCGCGGGGGCGACCGGGCCTGCGGGGGAGTGCTCCGTGCCCCCACGCTCCGCCTTCAGCGCCAAGCGCTCCGAGAGCCGGGTGCCTCCGCTGTCCGACGCGCCCCTGCCCTTCGACCGCGTGCTGGTGAACGAGCAGGGACATTACGACGCCACCACCGGCAAGTTCACCTGCCAGGTGCCCGGGGTCTACTATTTCGCGGTCCACGCCACCGTCTACCGGGCCAGCCTGCAGTTCGATCTGATCAAGAATGGCGAATCCATCGCCTCTTTCTTCCAGTTTTTTGGGGGGTGGCCCAAGCCAGCCTCGCTCTCCGGGGGCGCCATGGTGAGGCTGGAGCCCGAGGACCAGGTGTGGGTGCAGGTGGGCGTGGGTGACTACATTGGCATCTATGCCAGCATCAAGACAGACAGCACCTTCTCTGGATTTCTGGTGTACTCTGACTGGCACAACTCCCCCGTCTTCGCTTAGTGCCCACTGGAAAGTGAGCTCGCCCTCTCACTCCTAGAGGAGGGTGCGACACTGACAGCCACAGCACCCAGGAGGGCTGGCTCCCCTGGAATATTGTGAATGACTAGGGAGGTGGGATAGGGGCCTCTCAGTCCTGCTGCAAGGAATGGGGACAGAGGCTGTCTGAGATCAGTTCTGACAGCATGGGGCAGTGGCTGGATTTCTGCCCAAGACCAAAGAATGTGCAGTGCTGGCAAGTGTGGGTTCTCCAGTTGCTCTGGCCCAGGACCCCATGGTGGGGTGCTCTCTTCCTGGTCCTCTGCCTTTCGGGGTCCTCCCCCATCCCTCCTACTCCTGGAGCCGGCCTTTTCTCAGAGACCACTCAATAAATCTAAAAACCCTCCTACTGGCTTCAGCCTTTCTTTAGTGGTGGGGATGCCCTGTATCTGAGGACCACGGTGTGGAGGGGTGTGCTCAGGCAGAAGGGAGGGTTCTCAGGTGGGATGGAGATCTGGGGCAAGAGATACAGGAAGCAGGCCCAGGTGAGTGACAGGCTGCTCCACAGAGCTGCCACCTAGGTCTTACATTATGAACAGGAGTGTCTGACTGAGGGGGATGCCCTCCTAGTACAGGGCTCTGGCCATCCACAGAAAGGGGCACCTTTTCTAATTCAAAGATACCGAATGAACCGGGTGGGGGCTGCCTTCACCACATATACCCTTACCCTGATCCAACAAAAAAGAGCCCAGGATTTTCATTCATGGCTGTTCTGGCTGTTTGGTCTCTAGATGACTGGAAAGCTATTTATTGCTCTCACTGGTGGAGTGTTCCTGGGTGTCCAGAGATAGGTCGTTTCTGAGCTTACCACAAGGGGGCGCCACGTCTCCAGGCTGCAGCAGTGACCCTGGGTAGCTTGAGCTCAAGACTGCTCGGGTGGTTAGGGGGAGGGCCGGTATTGAGGTAGGCCAAAGGAATGCCAGTGGGGGTGGAAGAAAAGGGGGTCCTTCGCTCCCAGCTCAGGAAGTTTATCTTCTTCTCATAAAATGTTTATCCCCACATTAAACAGAGACTGGAAGGAGCCAAGCTTCCCCTTGCTCAGCTCCCCCTCCAGGGTTGGGGGAAGGGAGGAGAAAGTGCCAAGCCTTGCCTTGGGCCTCCCAACTCTGAGGTGGAGATGAAGAACTCTCCCCCACTGTGCCCGGCATAGCCTGGGTGGGCCGAGCCACTGAGTCTGAGGCTGGCCACAAAGCCCCTTCAAGGCTCCCCTCCCCTGACCCTCAGAACCCAGCCTGGGCCCCACCCCCAATCCGATGACTAACAAACCAGGCCTTGCCAGGCCCACAGCCTGCTCAGCCTCTCAACCCCAGGGAAAGTGGAGGGGCCTCTCCTCAGAGTTGCTTCAGGACCTATTCACTCCCCGCCACCACCCCCCTAGAAGGCAGTCCCGGGCATTATGCTCCTAGATGAAACATACAATTATGGGGGGGGGGCACCCCTCCTCTCTTCCTGGTCACATGAGAGCAAATATAACCACTGGGGCCTGGGCCCCAAATGTGAGCTAGAGACAGGCCTCAGGCATCCTGGGCTTCAGCTACCAGGCCTCCACCAGGAAGTCCTGCAGCCCTGCTCCAGCCCATCGCGATACAGACCCTATACCAAGAGAAACAAAGCCCAGCACCAGCTCCTCTGGGGATCAGAGGGTAGATTAGACTCCAGGCAGTAGGAACCCCAAGTTCCCTCCTGGGAAGAGTGGCACCAGAGGAAAAGCTGGGAAGGTTGACTCAAGAGGTGAGACAGTTCACATTCCTCTCTACAAGGGCTAATGGAAAAGATAGGGAAGGCTTTTCAAGAGCCATGTGTGAGAGGGCACAGATCAAGGGAGGGAGAGCTAATCCAGCCACGCCTGGCTGGGCTGTCCCCATGGCACAGTCTTCCCACCCTATCTTACCTCTTCCCCATCCTCTAGTTTAAGCCCAGGTCCCCCCAAGATATTTCTGGCTCCAGCAGGACAGAAGGACCCTGATGTAGCATCAGTTACCTTAACCAACGGCTCCCCCTTGCAGGGATGCACACAGACTCGGTCAGAGCTGTCAACAGAACTTTATTCATTGGAAACTGGGCCAGATGGACACCTCAGGCAGCTGCAAGCCCCTAGGCCCCTGGGCCCCAGCCCCTGTGTTTGGACCCTAGTGAAATGTGCAATCTGCCCACCCCAGTGCTAGGGAGAGGCAGAAGAACACCATTTTTATATGTGATGTGGGGAGTGAAGGGAATGAGTAGAAATCTGGTTATCCCTCCTGAGGCTCCCAGTGAGCTGGGGTGCCAGAGGGCACATGGTCCCAAAGCCAGGTGTAGCTGCGCCTTCGCAGGGAAAAACTCCTGATCCCAGCTTTTGGATCAGGTTGAGAGGGAGCCTCATAAAATCATGACAGGCAGAAGTGGCTCTAAGGGCACCTGAGAGATATCACCCCCAAAGCCTACCGGAACACAGGGGCTCTGGCTGAATTTGTGTTCAAAATCATTCCAAGGCCCTTGAGTTGCCAAAACACCCAAACAACACTCATGTGTTGTAGCTGCAGAAACTGGGGAACAAGTGGGAAGGAGGCAGGAAAAGAACCTACAAATCCCCAACAGAAAAACCAGCAGAGAGGGATAGCCCCAGAGGCAGGCATCTGGATGGGCCCTGGGCAGGCTGAAGGAGAGCCCACAGTGAACAGTCTCAGGGCCCTTGCATAGTGACATACTCACCACCTTCAGCATCAAAGGGACCCACTGGGTAAGGAGAAGCTATGTTACCCTGCCCCCACCCAGATCATAGTCTTCCAGAGTATCCCATCTCAAAGTCCTCGATGTATGGCTTGGAGGCTTGGCGTGACAGCCACAGGGGCAGGAGGGGATTCGGGCCAGGGCCCAGAGATGAGGTGGTAATGCTGTCCAAGCGTGGGTGCCTGCGTGGAGCGTGGAGGGGTGGGCAGGCAGGGAGGGAGTCTTCAGAGGTAGACATTGAGGGTCTGCAGGATGCCCCGGCGGCAGAGCGGACAGTTGCGATGGTAGATGGGGTGGCGCATCAGGATTTCAGTGCAGGCCTGGCACAGGCACAGGTGCCGGCAGGGTAGGAGCAGCACCGTCTTGCTCTGGTCCTGGCAGATGACACATTTCTTCCGCTCCTCTTGCTCCTTCAGCAACTTCCATGGGTCTTGCCCACCTGTAGGCTCCTCCTCATTGAGCCTCTCCCGACCCCTGGCAGGTGTTGCTCTGAAGGTCCTGACCTCCTCCTCCTCTGCCTCTGATCTGTGCCCTGCTTCAAGGAGCGTGTCCTGTCTCCGGGTCCTGGCTGAAAACACTCTTCTAGGGTCACCCTGGGGGGCTCCAGGTGCTCCTCCCTGGTTCCGCCAGCTTGCCAGTTGCAGGCTGCGGCTCCAGACTCGGCGCCAGGTCTCAAAGCCCAGTGCTAAGCGAGACAGACGTATGACATCCTCTCGGAGACGGTGGTAGGATGGCCGGGCATGGAGTTGACTGAGTGCCCGGGTGGCCAGCCTCACAGTGAAGTCGGGGTGCAACACAGTCACTGTCACTGCCAGCACACAAGCTAGCAACACGAGGCCAGTGAGATTGACCAGCACAAAGCTGGCCAGTAGGCGGGCAGCTGAGGCCAGTAGCTCCAGTGCTAGTTGGCAGGGGGTCCAAAGCAGGATGGCCATGGCCACAGCACTGCTGGAAATATGGGCTAGGAAGGCAGCCACAACATCTGTCATCCTCCACACAGGCCCCATCACTGCATCCCACAGGGCCAGCACCAGGGAGAAGAGGTTCTGTGTGCCAATAAGGCAGATGTTGACCAGGCTATTGATCACATAAGCCACCAGGCTCATGGCAATGGCACAGATGTCACAAACCTGGCGCAGCAAAGTATGGCCACTGGAGACCACATTGAGGATGCCCCGGTGCAGTATTTCACGACTCCGCAGTGCCCCATGAGAGGCCAGGTGCCCCAGGAGCTTTAGGCTCTCCAGGCCAGAGCAGCAGCTATAAAGCAGGGTACACAAGGCCTGCAAACCCCCAAAGGTGAACCGGATCAAGGCTTCCATCAAGGCCAGCAGTGAAAGCAGGACTCCTCGGCCCAAGTGCAGAAGACTAGTCAGTACCGTGTGCGGCAGGTTGTAGATGAAGGCCAGAAGCCAGGCCACGGAAGCCAGGAGGGATGACACCAGCAGGAAGTTGAGGTCCAACACCAAGGTCAGCACATCCAGCACCAGGCCCACCCCATTCACTACCAGGTACACTGCCTCCATGATAGGAGGATGCAGGTTAGTCCAAAAGGAAGTTTGACTCCTTGGTTGAGGGGACAAAGTTGTCAATATTTTAGGGGAGGTCAGGGCTCAATTTGGAAGGGAAGTGAGCAGTCTCCAATCCAGGGGGAAGCAAGAGTCTGAGGAAGAAGTGGGTCAGGTCAGAGGGAAGTGAAGTCTTAGCAGAGGGAAAGAGGGTCAGGCGCCAGTCCAAGAGTCCTGGTTTTAAAGGCGAGCTGTTTGGGAGGGAAGAGGCCAAACATATCTAAAGTGAAGGCAAGCCCGGGCTGGAGGAGCGACCTCGGCTTTGGAGACCGGTGTGGCGTACCACGGCCAGGCAATGGGTCAGACCCGGAGGAGACCAGGAACAGATGGGATGGGATCGGGCCGGGGCCGGGGCCGGGTGGGGGAGGCGCAGGCTGGGCGCGGGCTCGCGGTCCAGCTACGCAGGTGCCCCTGTCCCCGCCCGGCCCCCGTCCTCCCGCCCGCAGCGCTTTGCGCCCAAAGGGGCAGTAAGAGGGGGAGTCAGCCTCTGCAAACCACAGGCGCGGCCTCTGCTCCGCTGGGCGCCGCCATCTTGTGTGCAAAGGGGTGGGGCAAGAGGCGTGACAAGAAGGGAGGGATGACAAACTCTGGCCAATCAATGAAGGGCAACCACAGGAAAGTCGAGCACTCATTGGTCCGTTTGAATTGCGCCCAAACATGTATTTTCCAAAGGGAGGGGGAGGAGACAGACGTCAATCCACGCCCCCTTGAAGCGGTGATTGGCCTGTTGACAGGAGCGTCGAAATACAACCTGCTAGCCCCGCCCTCTAAAAGAGCCGGACCTTGGACTTGGCTAAATTTGGGCGCTGTTCTTTTACCCTGGCACCCGAACGCTTTTAGGCTTGTGTCGGAGGTCACCGCCTCAGGCCTGAGCTCTGGAACAGCACTTCCTCACAGCCCGCTGAGATCTGTTTCCTCGTCTTCTTCTATCCATCCATTTATTCTATCATTTACTGGGCTCCTACAATGCATTAAAGATACAAAAAATAAGTTTAAGACGGTGCCTACTCTCAGGCAGCTCACAAGGGGAAACGGATTGTTTCAGATTCCCAAACTGCTATTCCAAACC